AAACTCAAACAAAACAAACAAACAAACAAACAAACAAAAACCCAAACAAACACAACCAAGCAAAAAAAACCCAAACAAACAAACAAACCCCAAACCAAACCCCAAAACCTATTTTATAAAAAGCAGGTAATAAAATGACTTGACATTTTAAACAGTATTCTGTAAAGCAAGGTAAGCACAAACCCTTCTTCAATTAATTACTACATGCCTTTTCATATTTAGAAGGAATGTTACATACTTGATGTCTACTTGATGTTATAGATGTTTACAGATATGTATGTCTATATAGATAGATTTGTACTGACCCACGATCTATAAAGATCACCTAAACCGATAAAAATATTGTCCCAACCATATAGGTTCTACTATACACACACTGTAAATAAAGTATTTGTCTATCTTTCTGTCTGTTTGTTGATCGTCATAAACAGGAGGTCTACAAACCTTTAGTAGCCTAGCATCTGCAATGATCAGATTACTTACAGGTCTTCCTAGAGCCCTTCATCATCACTTAAGAATCCCCCATATCAATTCCTGTGCTTTTTTTAACTTCTTTTTTTTTTTTTTCCTTTAGAAGAATGTTTCTTCTTAAAGCTCAAGATTCAGAAGGTGGCCAGCAGGTCCCCTCGAGGGAGGGGATTCTGTCCCTCTGCTCCATTCTGGTGAGATTCCACCTGGAGTACTGTGTCCAGCTCAAGTCCTCATCACAAGAAACACATGGATCTTTTGGATTGGGTCCAGAGGAAAGCCACAAAAATGTCCAGAGGTCTGGAACATCTGACCTTGTTGTTCAGTCTGGAGAACAGAAGGCTGTGGGGAAAACTTAGTGTGGCCTTTCAATACTATAAAGGGGGCCCATAAGAAAGATGGGCCAGACATTTTAGTAGGGCCTGTAAATAAGGCAAGGGGTAATGGTTTTAAACTAAAAGGTAGATTCAGACTAGGTATAAGGAAGACTTTTTTTACAAAGAAGGTGGTGAGGCACTGGAACAGGTTGCCCAGAGATGTGGCAGATGACCCATCCCTGGAAACAATCACAGGCAGACTGGACAAGTGACCTTATCTACTATAGACACGTCCCTGATCCTTGCAAGGATATTGGATTAGTTGACCTTTAAAGGTTCCTTCCAACTCAAATCATTCAATGATTCTATGATTCTATGATTCAGGGTGCCAAATTTCACTATGTTCAAAAGATCCAAGCTTAGGCTCTTGCTTTATGAACCAAATGAAAAAGCTGCACTTTATAAAAGTAGACAACACAAAGTCTGTCAAGATGGCTTTCATCTCTTTTCCTTACAAATGAAAACCCAGTCCACAAACAAACTTGGGTCAAGAAAGTTCTGAAATGAGGAACATTTTGGTCTTTATCAGTGAAATTCTGAAATTAAAGACCTTCTGATTTCTTAAAAAACAGGAGGAAGAGCCACATAAATTCTTATGTTGGAAAAGAAAAAAAAAAGGATGACATGATGCTTCATGCAGACATGCACTCTCTAGTTTGTCAGTTTCTGAGACACACAGAACAATTTCTAAGGCTCTTGAACATTTACTAACATGTAATTGAGCATGTATCACACATTCAAATGTGAGTCAAAAGGATTTACTGTGGGTTTCCCCAAGATGTTAGGTTGCAGCAGGGCAGTGCTTTATCAAAACCAACTTGAGATATAAACTGTGCCTCAATCAGCCTTCATAATGGCTAGGCATTGCTTCTAGGGGAGATCTAGCCTGTACTATATCTGTCTATGTAAGTGCTTCCCTTTGTTTGGGATTTAGGATAGAAATCTTAACATGCTGTATATTTTAGTCTTGTGTTTGAAGCAACATAAAATTTATTTTGTTAAGGGCAAGGATATGACCAAAAAGAAAGAAGTGTTTAGTTAAATTACTTAGATTTCTAAATTTGATTTCTTAGATTTAAGTCCAATGCATTAAAGGTATACTTCAAAATAATTGTCTCCCTTCACTATGCCTGCACAGCGTTATCACTGCTGCAATGACAGAGAATACTGAACTGGTAACTGGCCAAGTCAGTTCTGTTTGCCAAGATAGCAACACTAGGAAATCAGGAAATTCAACCATAACTCAGGAAAAAAAAAATTTTTTTTTTTTTACTGCGAGGATAGTTGGACGCTGGAACAGGTTGCCCAGATAGGTTGTGGAGTTTCTATTCTTGGATATACTGAAACTTACCTGGAAATTACTCTGAGCAACCTGCTTTAGCTGGCCATGTTCTAAGCAGGGCTGGGACAGGGCAGTCTCCAGAGGTGGGACTCTTTGGTTCTGTGAATCTGAGATTTCTTCTGCACACAGTACTTCACTCAGACTCAGTTGTGTTGGATATTATATTGCAGCTATATCCAATGACAACAAAAGGTACTGCAGTATTTTTCCTGTCTATGACTGTTAAGTACTTTGCTGCAATGATCTTTTGGCTCTATTCTAATATATGGTCCAAAAATCTTTCTATGTATTATTTTTGCTTACCAATTTTAAAATGCAGAGACAATAATCTTTATACAAACTGAACAACAAATACTAAAGGGGTGAAACATGCACTCTTGGTCTTTGGGACAGTTCAATATGCTTCAGACCGGCCCATGCAGCTTATCCACGCTATTCCTAATAGCATCTGCTTTAAAAGAGGGCTAGACTTCTACCCTTAAAATGATTCTTGTAGAAACTGTAGTCATCCTTTCTCTATGATGGAAATTAAAATGTAAAACTAGTACTGTAAATCATAAGATTAGTCGTGTCCAGGTCTGTTTATAAAGGCTTCTATGGACAAAGGAAATTAAGCATAGTTGCTTATTATTTGCATTACTACCTATTGCACTTCAAAATACAATATCAATTCCCAGTTGTTATCTTCCTGCTGCACATCCTTCAACATCACCTTCCCCCTTTTTATACTTTTCTTGTATTTTCATTTATTAAGCAGATGTCCTCTATCCTTTGTTTTCTTCTTTTCCTATCATACCTCTTGCATTTATGGCTCAATGTACTCTAGAAATATATTAGTAAAATCCATGAAAGTTTCTTGGTTTGATACTTTTTATTGCACACTTCTATTGCATCCTACCTCTGTACCCACAGTAATTTGCTTTAACAGAGGTAAATCAGAAATTAAATTTCACTATTTTCTCAAAGCACTGTGCTAAATACCCCTACTGTCTTGTCTATTTATTACTGATCTACACAAGATAAAGTGATCAAACTCTGGCTATTAGCTTTCATCTAGGTTGCACACTCTAGGAAAAAAAAAAAAAATCACTTATTTATTACTGTTTTTGCAGAAATTAAAAGTTCACAGAGGATCGTAGACTGGTAAAACTGCAGTTATAATTTCTCAGAGGTAATTTGCCAGATCAGTTCAGTTTAAGAATTTACAGCTTATAGCTGAAAATAGAAAAATAAATAAATACATATGGACATTTGCCTGAACAGTTCTAGTACCAGTAGTAAATAACAGATAGAAAATGTGTCTCCCATTTTCAGTGAATAGCAATCTCTTCATACTACTGATGAACAAATTTTACCTGCTCATTTGTGGAACATGCCTGTTTTGTTTTTTTTTTTTTTTTTGTAATAGAATTGAGGATCATCATTATGGTTCCATAAATGTAAACAATATTTCCAGAAGCAGTTACAAATTTGCTTTATATGCTATTGTTTGAATTTGTTTTGCAGTATGGGAGAAGTTTTACTTTCAATACTCTAAAATAGTCAGAAGAAAGGAGTATTTCACTTTTAGCACATCTTTAATGACCAGTTTTTGAAGTGACAGACAGACACAAATGGAGGTTCAGTGGCTGCTAATCAATTAGACTGGCTGACACAGCAAGCACTAATAGAAACCTTCAGGAGACATAATATCTGCCAGTAATAGACCGTGTATTATGCTGCTGTATGATTACAGTCCCAAAGAACGTTCTATAAATTTGTATCTGTTTGGAATCCAAAGCTAAAGTTAACCCTGGACTGTTTTTTTTTTTCACACTGAACAGAGAATTCTCTTTCCAAAACCTGAAGTCAGCTCTCTAAATGCAGCTTCAGAGGTATTTGACTGGAGATGCTTAGGGTGGGAAGAGCATATATTGCAGCAGAAAATAAAATATTTACATGCAGGTGACAGCATCATAGCCACTGTTTTAAAAGACATACTTAATTTAAAGAAATGATCCCTAGAGTGCTCTCCACTCTGAAAAGGTCACAGCATCTTTACAGCATTCTCCAATTATACTTTTACCATTATATTTAAAAAAAAAATTAGAAAAAAAATTAAACTATTAAAATAAACTTTGCTGTTTTGATTCAATATCTTGACCCTGTGAACTCATTTACACCATAAAAGGCTGCTATATATAAAGGCATTGTATACAGTTTCATCTAGTATCTTGTAAGGCAGAGGAAAGTCCTTTGTATAATGCCAAACCTACATCTGTGTCATATACAGTGAAAGAAGAATAAGTGAAGACTGATCCCATTGCAAGATTAGTAGAAAACAGCTACTGATGTTTCTTTAATCTCTCAGTTAGAGCTTCAAGTTCATATAGATACACTGCCAAATTGAGGCCAACTGTCAAAAGTAAAAATCAAATTACTTGAGTGGAGACAAAAATCACATTTAACATCGAGCTGAATGTAGCCCCTAATGTAATACCATTACACATCAAAAAAATAAGTTTGAAAAAGTCAAATGTGCCAGTTCCATACATATTTATATGCAAGCACATTTTCTTTACAGTAGAAAAATGTACCCACATTCCTGTAATTATTGGAAACTTTCAGTCAATCTACTAAAATTTCTGCAGTGTTCTGCAAACCATTCCTAAACATGGAAATATCCCAAATATTCCAAATACAGAAATTTCCTAAAGCAACTACAGTTACTACTGTATAGTACAGTTAAAAAAAAAAAAAAAAAAAAGGGAACAGTATTACAAAATGGCCAAAATATGAGAAAGTTATGCATCTGGTATAACTAAAAGATAAACTTACCTTTTATAAAGAAGTATAGCAATGACAATACAGATGATAAACACCACTGCAAGAACTGGTCCAACAACCCAAATCAAGCCTTCTTCCTCATCTGTAATTGGTTGCGGATCAAGATCCATTGACACAACAGGATCAGAATACGGGCTGGTTGCATACATAGTCTATACAAATAATAATAAAAAGTCTTACTTAATGATAAAGGAGTGCACTGAAAATATTAACTATCCTGTATCTGAAATAAATCTTACAAGAGGCAATGAACTTAGCCATGCAAAACCACTATTTTTCTTCAAATGAGGCAGTATATATAAACTTGCAAACTAAACAGTGTGTTGTCATTACTATCTTTATTTTGTGGTCCACGTGTTAGCAGTGATCTGCAGACAAACAAAGTAACACAGCCTTTCACAGAAAACTTCAACTTAAGCAAAAAAGGAGAAAATGAACTAGTAGGACACTGAGGAATATAACCCATCAGTTACTTATTTTGGATTTTTAGTTTCATACTGACTTAATGCTAGTGCTTCATGCAAGATATGAAAAGATACTTCTGAAAGAATGAGACTACTATAGGTAAAAACAAAAGGTACTGAATGTCGGAGGTTCCCAGAATAAGGTTCTATGGCAATAGTAGGGTACAATTTGATCAGTCAAAACCTGTCTGACAAATAATATTCTTACAGAAGATGAAGACAACCTGAATTTAAGATGAAAAAATGGGGAGGCCACTGCAGGATGTGAAGGGAAACTAAACATTCAAAGTCTTTCTTAAGAATGGAAATAGAACTATGAGCCAACAGAGGCTGTTCAAAATCCTTGCCTAAACTGAATGGTTTAAAGCCAGCTGTGTTAGGGTAAAACCTGTGAAAAGAAAATAACACCCTTTTTCATTCTGGTCTGACCTGAGATGTCTCATCTATGGCTGAGTGTAGAGTTAAAACTACAGACAGGTGAGGTTGCAAAGCCAACCTGCTAAAACTGGACCATATAAAGAACTCTGAGCTACAGTAAAGTCAGAAGTGGAGAACGGTTTGTACTTATTTCTTGTCGTTGCTGGAATGTCCTCACCAACACTAAACCAGGACGTGAACTACAGTTCTTGCAAAGGATTTAACAATTTGATTCAGCAGTAGATCAGGAATGGTAGCTAAAATAGAATAAGATAACCACGAGGAGAGATTAAATTTTCATTTACCATGGTTGCACCGTATTCTGAGAGATGCCCTAAGCCGGGACAAGTGTTATCAAAGGAGACATGGTTTTTTACACTTCATTTGGCCTTCTTTTGGGCTCTGGGCTACAACAGTGTCTGGGTTTAAAGCTAGAGATAGGATTAGGATTAGCAAAATTGAGGCATTTACGTAAGCTAGTCCTGAGCTAGCAGCTACGCCAACCGTGTCCAGTTATGTTATGCTCTTTTACTAAACCTGGAACCAATTGTTTTAAGAGTCTGTGATTGCTGTTTGGGAGAGTCTCTGTGTTCCACTCCTGAAACACCTGAGCTGACTTTTTTTCCCAGCTTCAGTATTCTCAAAAGATAGAAAAAAGCCTACTGCTAAAGAAAGTCTTCGTATTTAGACTCTTCCTTCAAAGCAGGCAGAAAAAAAGTGCCTGGAAAGGGATACAGAGGAATACTGAAGACTAACAGTACAAACTCTTATTACCTGTTCTCTATTATATAGGACTTTGCTTTTAATTTTCAGCCTTCCTGTATCAATGACTAATTTAAACTTAATATTTTGCAAAATTTATGCACTCTTTTTTTCCTTCCTCTTGATAACATGCTTAACATATTTATAGACTGCAATCATAAACTCTCTCAGCTTCCATTTTACTAAGTTAAACAAATTCAGACTTTCTCATGTCATCATGTAAAGCAAGATCTCAATTTTCCCAATCAACAGAGAGATTTTGTGTTCTCTGAAGAAGAAACCTTATGTAAAAAGTATTTTGAATATCTGGAAAAACATCTCTCATAAGTTACAGCTCATACACCAGCAGGATTTAGTCCCAGAAAAAAAAGAAAGAAAATCAGATGTATTGAAAACAGATACACTTGAGCATTGGGAATTAAAGCTCACTCACCTTTACAAACTCTTCACTGTCTGTGACTACCTCATGCTACTTCATTCCATATATGTTTCAGATGGCATGAAATGAGATATTGTCCATATTTTAAGTTTAGTAATGTTTTTGGAAATCTTCAGCAGTAGGACCCTGGATATATTATGCCATAGCAGCCTTTTCAGCTATATATTTACACCTATATTTATTCCTGCTTTTCCATCCTGCTTTTTCTCTACAAAGTTATGACCTTAGAATTATGGGAAATTACCAATGCTTTAATTAATATAGAAAAATAAATAAGAAAAAGTACATTTTATTGAAAAGACCAATTTTAGTACAGTTAGCTTCTGACACAGAATTTTGACCATGTAACTTTGTAGCCAACGGCTGCCTATTTTGTCCAGTTGGAACCTTTCTGGTGCAGTGCTGTCAGAATTCTCTGTCTATGCAGTGATTCTCAAAAAGTGAAAGGGGAACTTCTCATTTATCTTAGAGCTTCTGGGAGGCGCACTTGTTTTATTTTCAAAAGAAGCTATTTACCTAAAAGTATTCAGATTTATACTACTCAGTGTGTATAGGTAGGCAAATTTTATTGCCATCAAGAATACAATTGTAAGGTTACAGACTGGAAGCATTTGACTAGAATTTGGATTACTGGTGTAGTGGTTTCAAGTGGTTCAAACAGCAAATGTTCCTTTCAGGTTTAGGTACCAATTAGAAAGACAACTTAATACTGTATGATACAATGTTAATGTGTACTGCATCTTGTTTCAAGAGTCCTATACTTTTTTTTTTTTCCTTTTCCTATGTCACATGCACTAGATTAACTCAAGCATAAAGGGACACAACTACAAGATTAATTACATAAAGAGAAACGACAGATCATTATTTAGCTTACCTCAGGAATCTTCTTTATTAATGAATTTTTTTTCTAACTTTCCAACAATGTTGTGATAGAATAGTTAAGAAATGAGTTCAACTAAAGAAGCTAGCTCTGCATGTCTCTGATTCAATGGATCTTTCCAAGGTGAGAGGAACTCTTTTTTAAATACATTGAGAAAGATGCTCCTGTAAAGTTCATGCCTCAGAACCTCTGCCAATGATCTCAAAGACCAGAGCATGTAATTTGTGAAGGATCACAACACAGCTAATGAAAAATGTGTTCATCAGGTTTCAGTTATACACAGAAGTAACACATAAAAATACAAGCAAAATTGCACAGATCAAGGAACTAATTGGAACTAAGCAAGGAAACACTCACTTTGGAGATACTCTGATATATATTGCAAACCCCCCCAGCTTTTGGGAGGTGGAATTAGCATTGAAAAAATATGGAAAGTTAATTTGGGGATTGAAAAATGTTAACTAACTTACAGATTCTGAGTGCTCCATTACAGCCAGCACAAAGAAGACATACTCTTGACCACTCTGCAGTTGCTTATTCTCAAAGCCACCATAATGCTTCTTATCCCCCAGTGTGAACTCAGTAGGAAGAACTTCAAAGTGAGCTGCAATATATGGCTTTAATTCAACTTCCCTCCTAAGACGAATGCTTCTGCGTTTCCTAGCTATTTCCTTAAGCAGCTATAGAATGAAGGAGGGAGAAGGAGGAGCAGATGCAGGGAGGAGGGAAAGAAGAGGGGGTGGCAAAGAGAGAGGTGAGGTAGAGGGAGAGGACAGGGGAAAGGAAGAGGAAGGGAGGAAGAAGGATGGGAAGAGAGAAGGAGGGAGAGAGAACAGAGAGATAATGTAAACAATTGTAATGTAACTTATTGACAATGTAATGAGAAAATTTAATGTATGGCCAGGCACTACGAAAACAGTTTATCCACATTTCATGAGACATATCAGTATTAGTAAATCAGCTCTTGCAAAATCTTCCAAGTTCTTGTCATCCTTTTTTAGATAAGGTACTATGTAGTAATTGGACTGCCTAGTCTACAAACATAGAACAATTAGATCAGTTTTCAGCATCTGATATTGTCTTTGGGGGGAAAAAACAGCTAATGAAGCAGTGCATCTTCTCTGAGGATACATATACACACACACACACACACACCATATTGCACATTCTATATATGTGTATGTATATAACATATGAAATCAGACACAGAGTGGAATCATAGAATCATTTATGTTGGAAAGGACCCTTAAGATCATCAAGTCCAACCATAAAACCAACACTGCCAAGTCTACCACTAAACCATGTCCCTAAGTACCACATTACCAATCTTTTAAATACCTCCAGGGATGGTGATGCCACCACTTCCATAGGCAGGCTGTTCCAATGCTTGAGAACCCTTTTGGTGAAGAAGTTCTCCTAACATCCAATCAAAACCTCTCCTGGTCCAAACTGAGGCTGTTTTGTCTTTTTCTATCAGTTCCTACATGGGAGAACAGACTAACCCTCCCCTCATTACAACCTCCTTCTGGGTAGTTGTAGAGAGTGATATGGTCTCCCCTCAGCTTCCTTTTCTCTAGGCTAAACAACCCCAGTTCCTTCAGCTGCTTCTTGTAAAACTTATGCCACGGACCTTTCAGCAGCTTTGTTGTCCTTCTTTAGACATGCTCCATTTCCTCAATGTCCTTCTTGGAGTAAGGGGCCACAAACTGAACAAAGTACTCCACATACAGTCTTACCACTGCAGAGTACAAGGGGACAATCCTTTCCCTAGTCCTGCTGGCCATACCATTTCTTATAAAAAACAGGATGCTGTTTGGTCGCCTTGGCCACCTGGGCACACTGCTGGCTCATGTTCAGCCAGCTGTTGAACAGCATCCCAGGTCCTTTTCTGCTGAGCTACTTTCCATACACTCTTCCCCAAGCCTGTAGTGTTTCATAAGACCCAAGTGCAGGACCTGTCACATGGCCTTGTTGAACCTCATATTACAGGCCTTCAACCCAGCCTGTCCAGATTCCTCTGTAGAGCCTCCCTAACCTCAAGCAGAGCAAAACACCCACCTAACTTGGTGTCAAGTTAGACACCAGACACTTCAGACTTACTGAAGGTGCTCTCAGTTCCCTCATACAGAACACTGATAAAAATATTAAACAGAACTGGCCCCAGTACTTAGTCCCAGAGAACACCATTTGCAGCTGGCCATAAACTGGAGTTAAATCCATTCATCACCAGTCTCTGGCCCAGCCATCCATCTAATTTTTTATCCAGTGAAATGTGTGCCCATCCAAGCCCTGAGCAGCCAGTTTCTCCAAGAGAATGCTGTGGGAAATGGTGTCAAAAGCTTTACAGAAGTCCAGATAAACAACAGTCTTTTCTTCATCCACTAAGTGGCTCACCTGGTCATAGAAGGAGATCAGGTTAGTCAAGCAGAACCTGTGTTTCATGAACACATGCTGGCTGGCCCTGATCACCTGGTTGTCCTGTATGTGCCATGTGATGCCACTCAAGATGACCTGCTCCATAACCCTCCATGGCACTGAGGTCAGACTGACAGGACTGCGGTTTCCTGGATTGTCCTTTCAGTCCCTCCTGTAGATGGGTGTCACATTTGCCAACCTCACAGATTAATTATTTATTATATCAGTGAAATGCTTATTCAATATCTTTTATCACTTTAGATATAATGGCATTCAACAATTAGTCTGATTTGATTACTGAACTTTTCCTGGGTGGTGAGCGCTGACTTCTATGGCCTCTACACGGATCCCTTAATTTTTCACTTAGGAAAACTATTCCAATATCCTGTAGTCTCAGACTGAAATCATATTTTTTTCTAGGGTCACACAGTCATTTTAGGCTTTTCAGCACACAAACAGTGCTAATACAAGAGATTAGCATAAACTTCTTTAAGTGGAGATAAATCTTCAGAGATAGACAGAAATCAATAAAAAAAAGAGATATAAATCTAATCTTCACTATATATATTCATTTTAAATAACATGTTTAGTTAGAGAAGCTCTCTCTTGGTTCAGGCTCTTCTTCAGTGTTAGGGATAAACTTAGGTGTGTTTATGTGTAGATATAAATTTTGTCTGTGACAGTGATTACACATGACGGAATAAATCTAAGGTGAACCTCTGGCTTCACTCACGTTTCAGATGGAGTTGTTGCCAAATGTCATTACTTGGACATAGGTCTCCTCTTGTACTTTATACCAGGATTTCAATAAAATTACTGAATTGATTGAAGACTTACCATGCAGGCTTTTATTTATATTTTATTGCTTACAAATCTAAAGCAATCCTGTGAGGTAATACTTAGTGCATATCATAGCATTTTGTTTATATTTCATTTATTTGTGTGACATATCTATTTAAAGTCACTAGATCTCCTGATATTCAAAATAAAAAGAAATTTTTCGTTCAGAAAAAAGGGCTATATATCTAATAAATATTATTTTCAGATACACAATATCTAGTCCATTGTCTGCTTTTTAAAATTTCTTCATCTGTTTCTTTCAGAACTGAGATTCAAGGAATTAGGAAGATTTCATAGCTACAATAAGGCTTGAGAGTCTTTCAGACTGATCCATTATGTACTGGCATTAACACTCCATAGTGGTGTTTTCAGTAAATACTTTTCTTCACACAATCTAAGCAAAGTATTTGGAATATATACTTTGGAAAAGTTATTGCCCAGCCCTTTCTGATACTAGCCAGATATCTGAGATTGTAAAAAGGTATGCATAAGTATCATCACTTGACCATCAGGAACTATTTGCTCAAAGAGTAGTGTGGTTAGTGTTTGTGGGTTTTTAATCTAATTTATTTATTGTGCCACTGTTTTCCCATGTTTGTCAGGAATAGTACATCTAAGAACAATATACATGTATTTTCTAAAGCTGGAAATAAAACAGACTATTAAATAATAGAAATAGGGTGAGTTAGCATGAAACACAGTCACTGCCTGCTTTCAATTTTTTTTCCTACTCAGTACTTACTATATGTATTAGTGGCAATTGTAAAATATATATCAAAGGTTTTAGCTCTTTACCAGAAATAATTTTCATTTTCCAGTCAATGCATATCTTATTTCTTCCACCATTAATTCTACAATGTGGTCTCAATTATATCAGTAGAAGTGGGAAACAACCCATCCTGACCCAAATATTTCTGAATTAATAAATGCTTTTTATCAATCTGTTATACAGATTAATGCACTGCAACTTGCAGGATGATTAAAATGACCCTTTGTTATGGGTATCAGCAGGACCTGCAGAATATAACTGCCAAAAAGTCCAATGTCATCTGGCACCTACCATTTAATCTATGAATGCTGCTGAATGTGACTACAGTCTTTGGATGTTGAAAATGGGTAGTAGTATTAAATCAGTTTTATATTACTGTATGGATCTTTCTGTCAAGACTTCTACTGTTTAACCATATTTGATGTCACCTAGGACTATGATCATGAGGAGATGGCATTTACAGTCAAAGTTCTTTTACAGCGAAGAAGCTAATAGATCAAAGCAAGATACCACTGCAAAAGAATCAAATGATATCACAGTATCACAGAATCACAGAATGTTAGGGGTTGGAAGGGACCTCCAGAGATCCTCAAGTCCAACCCCCCTGACAGAGTAGGACCATCTAGTCTAGGGCAGGTCACACAGGAACGCATCCAGACGGGTCTTAAAAGTCTCCAAGGAAAGAGACTCTACAACCTCCCTGGGGAGCCTGTTCCAGTGCTCTGGAACCCTTACAGTAAAGAAAAAGAAACGAGAAGAGCAAACACAGACTTCAATCAATCAGCAGCAGTTACAAAAACTGTACTGATTGTATTATAGTGAAGCATGTGGTGAAACATCTCTGTAACATAAAACTCCTGAATCCATCAAAAGAAAATGGAAAAATAAACAGAATTCAGTCAAAAGATCACTAAATCAGAAGTAAAGAAATTTACTTTGATCTCTGGTCTTTGAATTGCAGAGATATTACATGCACAAATTACCATAGCATTTGAATGAGATTTAAAATCCTAGCCAGATACAACAATAACACCACCACCACCACTTGTCTTCTGTACAGGGCTTTCAGATGGGGCTCTCGAAAGAGCTTTACAATGATAAATATTAGTAATACCTCAAATTTACAGACTGAATGAAGAAAGAGAAGTTTGTATGAGCTATATTGTCCTTCCATAACACAGAAGACAGGACTGAATGGTGACACTATACTTTCTGGAATTATTACTATATAAATATAATAATGAATTGATTTCTGGTATTACTGGGCTTATTCCTAAAATAAAGTACTTCTATCCTTTGGGTTAATGTCATTTATAGTGTCACATAATACGTTGCTGTCTACTACTTCATTCATTTATCCATGAGCAAAAACTGTCAGTAGAATGGAGAGTATTGTAAAAGCTTTCTGACCAGAAGCACTACAGTATGTGAGAATCAAGTGAAAACACCACAAGAAGGTCAAATGTTAAACTGCAGTGCAAATTGCAAATTAGTTTTGGTTACAGGCTTAGTAAACACCCCACTAATGAACCAGACCTTTATTAGTGTTCCTATCATTGGTGATTAAGCTTTTGCCGGCAACTCACTTCACCTCCTGGACTTCTGCGTTATGCTTTACAATAGGAAAAGAATAAAATATTAATGCCAACAAAGATCAGGCACTTTGTCTGCTTTATTGCAACATAATATCTTTAATGTCTTCTAATTTAAGTAATTCAAACTTTTGTTTTAGTCCCCACAGGGTACTTCAAATATAAATATAAAATATCCTGACAACCAAAACTTCTAAATCTCGTCAGTTAATCACATACCACTAATAAGACTGCATCTTTAATAAAAGAGAAGACAACAACAAAAACATACAGTACCTCATCTAGCTCCATTTCATCTGGACTCTCCCATGGTTTAATAAACTTTCCACGAGACCTCTTCAAAGGCACAATAACTATGTAATAACCTCTGTAAAGGAAACAGTTGGATAAAAGTGAAGTTGAAGGAGGAGTAGATAAATTGTTGGTGTGGGTGTCTGTCCAGAGGAATTTAAGTGAATACCAGTATGCTGAGAGCAAACTTTTGCACACTGTTACTACACTGCAGCCTTGAAGACATAGTTGTAAAGATTCATACTCCTGAAATCAGATCCCATGTAAAACATCTGACAAACAAATGGCACTAATTACCTGCCTTTTCATGTAAACATAAATATGCATAAGAAATTTTAATTACAATGTTCTCAAATGCCTACATTTGACTGCAGTTTATTCTTTCATCTGAAATACAAGAGCTACAGGATATCTGTGCCCTGCCACCATCACACTGGGAAAAAAAAGCCCAAACTCATAAACTGAAACATATTACCATATATTTAAATACTAATTATCACCCCATCTTCCCCCAATTTCATATATAATCAGAATAGTAAGTTAACATAACGTGTTTTTTGATGTCAATATTATTATAAACAGAAACCAAAGAAGACATACCATATACTCCACCTACCCATTCTTTATTTTTGAGTTTCAACCACCCTTAGCTTTATCTGCTGAAGTATTCTGTTCACAGGTAAGAGACCTTGAAGTATGCTCTCTTTATAGCTAGGGTTTGAAAATGACATATATGAGTTTTCCTCTGAAACATTTACCTGAATATATCTTCCTTCTCCCCTCAATGGAGGCTAGTAGATTATACTTTCTAGTATATTAGAGATAAGGGGCTTTCCTTGTTTCCTTCACAAAGCCTGGATACATGTCAGGTAGATCCATAATTTCACATTAGTGTGAGGAAAAAGGTGGTAGAATCACAACTGCAGGACATCTAGGGTAGTGTAATATACATTTTCTTGCTAAACACACTTGTCAAAAAGTCAATCAGTCTCCACCTCAGCAGAGAAGGAAAGAAGCTGCTAATCTTTGTTTCTAGTAACAACAGAGCTTATTAAGACGGTGTCTCTTGCTCTCCATTATGGAAGATAATTTCAGTGGTTCATAGACCATCTTCTTCTCTTCCAGTCTGTCATGTTTTACAGTCTATTCAACCTTCAGCAGCACTGCCTATTCATTTTACTCATGCAATGCAGTTGAAAACCCTAAAGTAATTAATGAGAGTCTACAGAAAAGGACTTGCCTTACAATTGATTAAAAACTATCTCAGCCTAAACCACCTCTATAAATTATCTTTCTTCCATACCAGTGCACACCATTGGTCCATTTTAATGGTCTCTTCTTAATTAAAGCTTCATATAAAAGAAATGTAACAAACCTTTGGATATTTAACCACTGTACTAAATGCACATATCTATTAATTCTTGTGTAAAGAAATTTGAAAAAAATGTTGAGCACCAACAGGAGGTTCTGGAAACAAGAAGTGCTGGCCACAGATTTTTTAATTCTGCTCACTTAATGTATTCAGTATTGAAATAAAGTCTACAGCATATATTCTTATAGAAACAATATGATAGATCACCTTGTACACTGATGCTCTAACTCAAAAGTAGTAAGGCTGGTTGAACCTAGATTTTAAACTTGAGTATGTATTTTAAAAATTTTTTGGTTACATGAATAACAAATCCTAGTGAATGCTGATGTATCAGCATTCAATAACTACATATATGCATACAGTAACTACAAACTACATACCTTTTCTTTAACAGATGCCTAAGAATCAAGACAAAAAGCAACTGAGAACTGACCCCTATATGTCTTTCAGACATTAAAGACATATCTGCTGGGTGAACTGCACAGCAGTCTCCTTTTTTCTTTTTTTTTTTTTTTAAGCTATCAGTGTCTTACGTTTTTTTCAATCAAGGAACATCTAGCATGTAAATGTTACTTTCACACTCCTTCACACTTTCTTCATGCATGCCTCCTACTCATAAGTTTGATCATATGCTATGATTTTCAGCAAAACCAGAGTATTTTAAAACTGGAAGTACATCAACAACAAGCAGAAAAAATGAAATTGTTCACATAAATATACAGTGCTGCAAACTGTAAAGGATAACAAAATTCTGTTATTTCTAGCTAGCTCCAGAAAATTCATCATCTCCTGAAAAACATGTTTTATTATTTGTTTGTTTGGAGTTTTTTTTTTTTTTGGGGGGGGGAGAGACAGAGGATTTGTTCAGCTATTGTTTGAACTACTGAGTATTATAAAAGAGAAACTCTTCCACAAAACTCTGGTTTTACCTAAGAGTTTGTAAAGATGGAAGAGATTTGGAGAAACATGAATTTTCCTTTACAAATAAAAATTGCTTTGAATTAGCCCAAAATGATACCGGAAGATGAAGACACTGCTCACTTGAGATGATACCAGCAAAAGAGATCCATTTTACCTAGCATAAGGTGAGCTATGCTCCAATTTCTATGCTGTATCACCATCAAATATTGAAATAATGGAAGTTACTTCTACCATCTTGAATAAATTACAAAGGCTTCTATATCATTACCCTCAACCCCATTAGTATTTTCTTATAATTTGTTTGAGCAAACCATTAACTGTTTCACCTTCTGTGTAATTAGTGTTATTGGAAGATTCTCTGTGCATAGTACTTCATAGTGAGATAGAGACAATCATGAGCGTATAATGTACCCACAGAGGAACTGCAACTGTAAAAATGTCAATATTGCTATATATAGAATTGTTCTTTTCATACAAAGACTACAGCTGCAACAATCTTACTGACTCTAGAAAGAATCAGGTTATTTTGTTTTTCTGTCTCAAGCCTGATCACATCTTCTTAAGTGACAGATACAGAAGGAAGGAGATACATTATGTGCAAAATTGGCAGTTGGACCCCATAGGTGTAATATACCTTTCCTTATGTCACTCAGCCTCTTAGCTCTTTTCCCACTGTTACCTTCTGCTACTGTTTGACCAGCTACCCTGAACTTTCTTCTCTCAGTGAATGCTCTGCCTCATAAATCTTTTTTGACTCATTCCATCTTCAGTCTTCCTTAGCTGCATTTGTTACTGACCGCATCTTATTCAATCTAATGATAATGGGTACATTTTTCAGTTTTTCACCCCTTTAATGTCTCAAAGTCATTTCTTTTTTGACCTCATCTACCTCAAAATCCTCAGTCAGTACTGAAAATGGGGAGTAGCTTTCTACAAAGCTGTCAGTAAAAATCCACCAGGGAGAGGACAAGTTGAATCCCCAACAATATTTAAAGACTTGCTCATTTTCCTCCCCATTTCCTTTACGTTACACATGGAAACCTTACAGACCAACAAGAATCACTATAAGCAGAGCAATAACACTTATTGATTGCACCACACTTCATGGGGTTTTTTTGGCAAATCTTTATTTTCTAACCTTTCTAATCCCTGCTGACTGTGTGCTGTCAGCTCTGTAGTCCTATTTTTGTCTCCTGATTTGAGTTAGAACAGAACAAATTCTCTTCAGTGATTTTACTTTTCAGCTAAGTCTCTTCAAAGCAACTGCACTTTCTGAAGGTAACAGCAGATTTTTGCACACAGTGTCTGCTTCTGGTCATGATAATGCTTATAACACAGATTGATGTGCAGAATGGGTCTTTCTTATACTTGCCCCTGTGCAGACCAAGGCCGCTGCTAAATCTTGTGTAGCACTTTCAGGGTCTAGAAAGTAAAAGGCTGCACCTGATGGGAAGATCAGACAGGACAGGTGACCTTAAACTGACCAGTGAGGCATTCCATCCTATCTCTATCGTATTCACTATAAAGCTGAGGGATCAAGAGGGTCAAGCTCTTTTCTTCAACGGCTGGCATCTGAGGAGGACTCTGTCTGTTCTGCCTTTGATCTTGATCCATGTGTTCCTGAATCCAGGTCCAGAATCCAGCTCCTCAGTCCAGTTCCCATCCTCAATCCGGTTCCCATCTGCTGCTCAGTCCAGTCTGTGATTTCCCCACTGTCTATATACAGCATCAGTGGTGACAGTGATGTAATTGCCATCAGCAGGAGGGCTCGGTTCAGTATTGGTTTGTGTATATATGCATACATTTCACTTTATTACTATTTTCATCAATTTTAGTTTTCTTTTCCAAACCTTAAGTCTTTCTGCCTTATTTCCTTTTTCTTCCTCTTTGGGAAGGGAGAGAATCACAGAACCACACAGAATCACAGAATCACTACGGTTAGAAAGGACCTTCAAGATCATCAAGTCCAACCATTATCTAACTCTACCAGGCCACTTCTACACCATACCCCTGAAGCACCTGATCTAGATGGCTTTTAAATGCATCCAGGGATGGGGATTCAACCACTTTCCTGAGAAGCCTTTTCCAGTGCTTGATCACTCTTTTGTTCCAATTGTCTAACCTAAATCTCCCCTGGTGTAACTTAATACCATTGCCTCTTTTCATGTCAGCTGTGGCATGTAAGAAAAGGCCAACACTGGCCTACCTACAACCTCCTTTCAGGTAGCTGTAGAGAGCAATAAGGTCTCCCCTCAGCCTCCTCTTCTTCAGGCTGAAGAACCCCAGTTCCCTCAGCCACTCTTCATAAGGCTTATCCTCAAGACCCTTCACCAGCTTTGTTGCCCTTCTCTGGACCCTCTTCAGAATCTCAGTTTCCCTCTTGTACTGTGGGTGTCCCAAACTGGACACAGTGCTCAAGATGCGACCTCACCAGCACTGAGTACAGTGGGATGATCACTTCTCTACTTCTACTGACGGCACTAGTCCTGATACAAGCCACGATGCCATTGGCCTTTTTGGCCACCTGGGAACATTGCTGGGTCATGTTCAGCTGGCTGTCAATCAACACCACTCTGGCCCTTTATATGCTGAGCAGCTTACCAGCCCCTCTTCCCCAAGTCTATAGTTTTGAAGGGGGTTGCTGTGGTCTAAGTGCAGGACTTGGCTTGTTCAGTCCACAACTGGTAACTGGTTTCCTCAATCTCTCTTTGATATTTGAAATCAGTGATGGAACACATAATTCTTCTCCATATATTTCCACCTAGATTTTACTCAGACATATATACTTAGTTCCAGTTGGAAGAGACCTCCAATGATTGTCTAGTCCAACTGTTTGACCACTTCAGGGCTAACCAAAAGTTAAAGCAAATTATTAAGGGCATTGTCCAAATGCCTCTTCAACATTTACAGGCTTGGGGCATTGATCACCTCTCTAGGAAGCCTGCTACAGGGTTTGATCATCTTTTCAACGAAGACATGTTTCCTAATGTCAAATCTGAACCTCCCTTGGTGGAACTTTGAACCATTTCCACATGTCCTATCACTGAAAAACAGCAAGATCAGCACTTCCCTCTCCACTCCTCCTCAGGAAGCTGTAGAGAACAATGAGGTTGCCCCTTAGCCTCGTTTTCTCTAAACTAGGCAATCCCAAAGTCCTAGCTGTTGTTCACAGGACATGCATTCCAGTCCTATCACCAGCTTTGTTGCCCTCCACTGGACACATTCTGGGACATTAACAACTGAATCTGGAATTTGTTCTTGTTAAATTTCATGCCATTGATGACTGTCCAATGCTCCATTCTATCCAGATCCCTCTGCAAGGCCTCTTGTTCCTCAAGAGAGTCAACAGCACCTCCCAGTGCTAATGCAGAGTGCTGTACTCTCTGTACTATTATGAAGAATAAAGCCCTGGTCCACCACTGGAACTCTAAATTTTATTAATAGTAAAAATAATTGTCTTTCTGGAGATAAAACCAACAGTATGTAATTCACTCACTTTATATTCTCATTTGAAGGTACTTCTGGAAGTTCCACAGTTATCATGCCGTCTAAGTTGGTCTTTCCAATGAAGACTGGCTTGGTGCGAAGCACGTCTGGTGCAGTCTTTGCTGTCACTCTGTGCTGAAGACCTCCAGCGCTATTCCCTCTATTCGTCAGCACAAATGAATACGATGTCTCGGGCTTCAAGTTAGTGATCAGCTTTTGGGTAGCACGTCCATCAACCTCTACCACCATTTTGCCATCATCATAGAGGATCTAAGTTAATATATAAATTGAAGGTGGTTTCCATTACTAAAAGAAGGCAACTGATACGGTCACAGTGAATTCAGGACTGAACCTAGCCATAAATTTAAAATGAAAGTTAGTGGGCATTTTAGGCTGGATGATAGTACTGAATTCACTACTGCTATTAAAGAGGAAAAAGAGAACGACATTAATTTAAAGCAGTGTAAGCAATCCCAAAATACAACTTCACATATTCAAATTCAGTAGCTTTGCTTGAACCCTGCATTTCTATCAAGGCACACTTGTTGTTAAAGGTACATTTACATTTTCATTCACACTCCTTATTCAGAAAGATGTTTGCAACATTTAGTTCATAAAATACTGCTCCTCACTTCCCACTACCTGAGATGACCCAAGTGATGGAGAATAATGCAGAAAAAATACCAGCCAGCCTGCAGGTCACACTGAGTCTTTTAGCTGGCGAATGTTACAGTTAGTGGAGTAAACAAGTTCTAATGCAAAAATGTGGAGAGGTAAATGTGAGGAGACAAAAACCAAAATGGTGCTCAGTTACAGTCACTACAGAAATGACAAATAAAAAGAAAAGTATTCTTTTCTTTCACTGTTTTTTTTTTTTTTTCTAAAACGTAGTAGCAAGGAACTAAAAATCAGCAACGACTTCATACCACATACAATAACCAGTATGAGCCTGACTTGAAATACTGCTACAACAGTGGAAAGTTCATATTGTCAAATGACTGAAATTAACAGTTTGGTTCAATATGGATTATTAGTTTGCATTCTCAAATACAGTAACAGCAAAAAAAAAAAAAAAAAAAAATCGACATGTTCAGTAAGCTGCTTAACCAGGGGAATGACATCCTCTGGTTTCTGTATTTTCTCTTGTACAAATGAAAAGTAACTTACTTTGAAAGGCAAGGCTGAATTGTAATTTTCTGGAATTTCCCAGGACAGCAAAACAGAAGTCTTCATTACTGCTTTGACATGAAAATTTTTTGCAAACACTGCTGGAAAAAAAAGAAACAATGTATATAAACAACATCTTGGAGCTTAGAATTTGCCATATTTCCACTGCTGCCTGGGAGTATTGGCTTTCCATTTTGGTCAAAAAGCACCGAGGATTCAATTATCCCACCTGTTTCCTCACATTTAAATATCACATGTTAACTCATTCTCACTCTTATCTAGTGACAAGCCAACACGTACATTTTCCTTACCTGAAAAAACTGCGAAGATGCTAGCCAGAACTTGCTGGGCAAGGGACAACTGAATTCTAAGGCATCCAAAACATATTAAGATTTACATACTTTACCTTTTGTGTTTGATGAACCTATTTTATGAATGGGCCGGTCAGTTTTACATACAGCTTCAAAAATACTGATATCCAAAGACTGATACTCCTTTAAAGGTCAACGCCATAAGCAGACAAATCCTACCTTGATCCACGGGTAGTGTCCTGAACTGGACACTTGGACTATATGGACCAGGCCCTTTGCTTGTGTGGGCACGTACTTTTACATCATATGTAGTATCTGGTTTTAAGCCAGAAAGTGTCAAAGTGGTATCAAAGTTCAACTGGCTGGTAAGCAACATTGATATCTCTGTACAAGATGGTGTATTTGGTGATAATGCCATTTCTCTCTGCCAAGAGCGGCATCTGCCAAGTTAATTGAACTGATGTAGAAGTAGAGCTTTCCGAGCGGAGATTTTGGGGAAATCCACTGGGCACCTCTTCAGGAACAGAAATCTCTTTAACCATCTCCTCCCCAAAGCCCATTTTATTTCTAGCTGAGAGCTTGAAGATGTAAGAAGCTCCTTTATGAATGTCTGTGGCCGTGAAGTGATCTTCCTTCTCGGAGAACTCCATGGTCGTTAATGTATCCATGTCTTTCCGTCCAAACTTCAGACGATAACCCTGCAGTGGGCCAAAAGTGTCCATAGGAGGGTGCCACTGAATTAGAGCCGTGTTCATCTGTGTGTGGCTAATCACAAGCCGAGGTTTGCCTGGAACTGTAGCACAATGTTATTTAAAGATAATAAATACAAATGGAACTGCATGTACAATTCTTGAGGCTAGTTTTAGCAGGAAGAGGAAAAAATTTTTTATTCCCTCACTTTTAGTTCCACATATTACTGTCTTATGGAAAAAATAATATCTGCCTACTGCACTATTGAGTCATACAGTATAATGAATTATGATAGTAAAGCTATTTAATGTTTGTTGTTTTATTGCCTTATTGTTATTTCTAAATACAGAAAACATTCAGAAGCACAGGACTTAGGAACACAAGTCAAGGAGTAAAACTTCAAACACGTCTTATGAATGTTTCTATTTCATTTAGAAATCCTTGCCTGCAAAAAAAATGAATATTGTCCTAAGTATTCATTAACTTAATGCAAGGCACACTTCTGCCATTCCTGCAAATGGAAAAATGAATTAATGATAATAATAGTAGTAGTAGTAGTAGTAGTAGTAATGCAGAAATTACAAGTTACCAACTGTGTCTAATGTAACTTTTGCCGTTGACAGCTAAAATCTGGTAGAAAGGAAATCAGACCAAATTTATTATCCATAATCATTACTACATATGACAGAACCCTATCATTCCATTCCTGTACACAAATCACCTCTAGCATGGCTTGTTTCACCTTGGAACAGTAGCAGAGTTTGGCATTTAACTTTTTGATTGTACTGGCTTATCTCATATGATTTAATTTCCAGTGTAGTCTTGGTGCACATGACCTGGATTTCTTCTGAAGAACCCTAAACTGGAAATTTTTCTTAACCTGCACACCAGATACACTTAAATCCTTAACTGGGACCTATTGGTCCAAACTGGTGATTTGTCTCTCAGAGAAGTTCAGACTGTAAGTGCAGTGAGGACGTTCAATTTAGAGGACTGAAATCCCGTTATAGAACTTATATGATGTACATTTTTGGACCTCCAATGTCAACTGCCCTCAGCTGTTGTTTCCATTTAATGTGCATATTAATTTTTATTTATTAATTTATTAGTATTAATGCATATCTGTATATATTTAATTTACATTTTCTTTAATATTTAAATTTCAAAATAGGCTATTACAATAATTTATTTGATAATGAAGTAAATCCATAACTTTTTAGAAACTTGGTGTTTATTGTGTATCAACGCTTGACAGATCAAGAGACCAGAATAGTTTTGGGAGTAGCAGTGCCATGATAACATAGTATTCCACGAAGACTAATTAGTTCCATCTGCATTCAAAGCCTTCCCATGTGAATGTAACCACTGCATTGTGAGCTCTGGTTCCTGTATTTATAAACTTCAATGGATTTTACTACTTATCTTCAGTTCTCAGGCACCCGGCAAATCAGATTCTTTTTGTCAGAAGTTCTGGCTACCATTCCACAATGAATTAGGGATAAGGAGGGAGGAATGGCATGGGCTAAAGAATATTTGGCATTTAATAAGCTCTTTCCTCATTAGATCTCTCATTAGTTTTGACACCACTTCTAATTGCATAAGAGTTATAGCTAGTTTTTATATAAACTTTCCAAATATCCTTCCTTTCAAATGTCTGGTTCGCCTGCAAGTATTATTACCAGGAATTTTGTGAGTTTTTTTTTCCATACACTTTCTGCTGTGTAAATAATATGTCTGATTAGTTCTGACTTCTCCTCTTTGATTGTTACAGGTCTTTACGGAACAACAAAAAAAAAAGGCTGTGAAGGCCTTTTGCAGGACAAATTTTCCTCTACATTCTAACTGTTACTGAAATCAATGGAGTATATAAAAGAGGAGTCCACACAAATAGAATAATAACTCCTTTAGCTTTCTAGAGGAGAGACTGCTGGAAGGTGTCACTAAATTATTATTGTGATAAATTGCTTTTTTTGTCCTGTGGCAGACCTCATAGTTAGAACTATTTTTTAACCTTTGTGGTAACAACAGAGAAAGAAAGAAATTACTACTTGCTCTTGATCAGAATAGGAAAACTAATAAAGCTTACTTATCCAATAAAACACTTTGTGATTAAAATGGTAGAAAACAATGGTACCTATTTTTTTAGTATGGACCGTATCTGATCTTGCAAAGTATATGTATTTCCTTTTTGGTAACATGCAAGCACCGATAGAGGAAAAAAATGCTTTTCTCTTTCTCTTTTTATTTTCAGATAGCTTTGAGTTAACATTTTTTTTTAGTATGATCAGTTGTGAATATTACAGTCTTGTGGGAAAAAACAGCAGGATTCTGTGCAGTTTAATATATAGTAGCATCACAGAAGAGCTTTATCTAGAAACTTCTGCTAATACTACCTGAATTTACCAGGAGTCCAAATGAAGTGAAATTTCCCGTGAAAAAAATATACTCTTATCTAGTGAAATCCACCTCCATTATTACACAACAAGATATCCTTCACGTACTCCACTGCAATAGTCATTACACCAAACAGTTGTAATGGCATGCCATTACTAGTAGAAACTCATGCCAGCTGCCTTTGCCAAATTGCCAAAAGTAATTTGTTTCTGTTAGCTGTTATACAGTACACCATTGTCTTAACATAAATTTTCTCCTCTTAGCTGAAATCTGTATTTCAGGTGTATTGTTCAGCCCAGAGAGTGAATTCCAAATAGCGGACAAACTCTGGTGCTATGAGATACTTCAACTACTGTGACCCCAAAATTAAAGGTCTAATTAAATTCTCCACAAGAATTGTATGATATCACTGACTAGTAAGTCTTAATTTTTATCAATTTTTTTTTTTAAATTACGTATTTTGCAACTGCTTCCTGAGTAATTTAAATTTCTCAAATACTTTGACTTGGAAATGTTTTTCCTTCATATGACTTCATAAACTAGGAAAGGATATCAGACAAAAAAAAATTCTGGAGTGAAAATATTAGCTTCATTCAGTGACTTCACTAAAAACTGTAGTTAACAGAAAAACTGCAGATTCACATTTGGTGAATCTTTCCTATATAAAAAAATATATAATACTTTTATATCACTAACTGGACACAGCTAAATAGTTACTTATCACCTGAATAACATATGAATAATAAGCTTATTCAGTAACATTTAGACCTTTATTCTCCTTTCATATCTCTTATAGATATAATCTCAATCATTCTAATGCAGCTGCACCTGACTTAAACCTTTAAAAATCAAACTAGAAAGTCAGACCCTTCATTTACTTTATTGTAGTATGTAAATAGCAGTTTTTTTAGGAAATAAAATCAAATGGAAACTCTCAGAGAACAAGAGGGTGTATTTCAGACCTACAAGCCCCTGGTATAAATGCATCATTCCTTCACCTGCCTGATGTATGCTTATAGAAAGTGAGCTGAAAACTCTTGCCACTGACTGTAACTATTGTCTCCCTCTTCAAAAACCTGCATATGAGATTTTCTTACAAAAAAATTTCAACCATGGCAAAGTCTAACAGCAGGTGAAGAGGTCTTTATAGAACCTGAAATGTATGAAGAAGCAAAATGGTAACTAGCTGGTATAGAGACCAGGACCAAACATTACTTGTTCACAGGATGAAGCAAACAGCACAAACAGTGTAATATTTATTACATTTACAGGCATGCCTCTGATTCTCAATTGCTCTTCAGTCACTCAGGGTTTTATGGGACATTGGATTTGTTCATCTTTCTGAAGTAGAAACATCAGAGATCTTGGAAAAGTGAAACATGAAGAGCCAATAAAGACTAAATTCAAACAAGTATTAAGTTTGGCAAGGTCTGCATAACACATGTTTCTATCTAGAAACTAACCAAATCATAATCTATATAACTGTGTTTACTTAAATTGAAAACTGAACTTGAAAAAGAATAATGGATCAAGTGTCTTTTTTCAAGTTCAAATGTAAGTGGGAAATATATATAACTCTTTTTTTTTTTTTTTTCGCCCAGACTATGAGAATTCAGGAAAGATAAGAAATTGGAGGTTAAGTTTCAGTGTGTGTCAAGAGTAATGACTAGAAGGTACTCAAAAACCTGAAATGAAACTATATAATGCATCTAGCCAACAAGACTGAGATTTTTCCAAGGAAAATGATGTGGTAAGGATATACATGTTTCTGATATCAGTAAATGTGCTTTACATTCAGTGATTGTTTTAAAAATTGAGTCAATCAGTACAAACATAAATACACATGGTCTTTATATATGAGCATAAACAATACATTGTTAGCAAGAGATTTTTTAACACTGCTACAAAGGTTTCTGTGCAATTGTAATGGAAAACCTTTAATGGTTACACTACAAAAGCCAGAAAATGGTTAAGTACAGGCTGTGAACACCTGTAGGTGCATACCAGATGAAGGATGTGGTGGTGTCATTTGTTTAAGGTGTGCTACAGTGAACCATTTACATTTATAAAATTTTGTTGCCCATCTGAAAGCAATTTAGTTTGTCTCATCAGTGCTAACCACATCAGCTGAATCAGTCATGCAGTCAGATACCCGCCATCTAGTACCACCTATGATTAAATGCAGATTGAACACAGTGGCATGGTGTATTTTGCACCAGTTTGTGCCTGAAATTTGCACAGAAGCAATACCGGTTTTAGGGTTTCACAATCTGGACTTCCCTTCTGTTTTCTAATTCTCTGTTTTAATAATCACATTCCTCTGAGATAAGTTGTGAGAATCATACAGATAGGTTCTTTCAGTGTTCTTACTGACAGGCAGCAACATTGCTGCTTTCACAAAGATCAGGAAGCCCTTCACAAGTTTTTCAAACACCCTTATCAGCTTTGAATTTTTATTTTTCCCTCTCCAAGAAGACACAACCAGAATGGAAGAACTAGTAGAAAGTATAAATTAAGTAGTATATTTTGGCTGCACCTTGAATGGAGGAAGGGACAAAGGATGACTCTGGTTCTGTTTTTGTCTAAATAAATGCAGAGACAAATACTGAAATAGAAAATCCTATGTCCTATAAGCACTTCTTACACAACAGGAGACTTCCAAATAGTAGGAGCAAAACATTAGCACATAAAGTCAAAGGATATATTCAGGGATTAACAGATATGTGAGTTTTACCTGCACCAGTAGTAGACACAAGTTTGGGCTTGCTGCGCGCTCCATCACCTTTCGTTGTATAGGCTGTCACAGTGAAGGAGTATGTAGTTTCAGGCTGAAGCCCAGAAATTATCATTTCCTAAGATGAAATAAAACAAGGGTGATTTATTCAAAATAGACTATATTCCAGGAGAACATGGAATCTTTAAAAAAAAAAAAACCAAAACCTGTATATTTCATACAGTGCACTCACTTTTGTGCTACTGCTGGTAGTGATAGCAAGCATTTGACAGCACCAACAGACTGTTCTGTGTGAATTACTTCATAATGCAAGATGTTTAACTCCCTTAAGCAATAAAAGAAAGTACAATTCTAAATAGCTTGCCTCAGGTAGTTTAAGGCACAAGGCCAAAGGCTTAGTGGTATGAACAGTGAATAAAGCCTTCTGAAATGCCTTGCCTGAGGAATACTACTGATCTTGTAAAACGTATGCATATGTAGATATGAGAAACTCCATTTAATTTAGTAATTTACAGGACATCACTGATACAATTATAAAATGCCTGGTAAGAAGTGTGTTGCACTTGTATCACCATGTTGTAATGATGGTTTGGCTAAGCCTTGTTACTTTCATAATACTGTCACTGCAACCTGTGTCATTGATTGGACTGTGCACCTGAGCATCTCAAAGGACCTCAGAACCAACTCACTCTTCAAAAGACCTACCTAAAACACCATTAAAAATCTGGTCAGAGAATAAATCTGACAGCCTTCAAAGAAACAACAGCAGCTACAAACCAAGTAGCTTTTCAGCTACTACCAGTGAATGAGAGGAAAATCAAACTGTGTCAAAGCACACATGTGTGGGCACACACATGTGCTATATATAGACAGGAGATGGTGAAATGATGAAGGGCCAGCCACCTGGAATGAACTAAATCTACATCATGTTATAAGCCTAGTCAGAGGAATTTAAGCATTGACACTCACAATATAAATACATTTTATATGCAAGTATAATAAGACAGTATTTGGAGCCAGCTACCAAATCCAAAGCTCCCAACTCATCAGCTTCCAATCTGCAACCACTGGATGACTCCTTTGCATTTTCACATGCTTGAATGGATTAACACTAAATTTCACTGTTGCCAGAGAGCTGGTGTATTTATGTGTCTAGAATAAATAGTAAATGTGGAATCACACACCCCTCAGATTCAACAAACCTAAAAGTTGCTATAAAAATTATGGGTAATACTACTCACAGTAAATGGATTTTTCAAGATAGTGAGTATGAGCTTAGCACAGATGTGGTTAGAATTCAACATCGTATTTACAGGCAGTTATTAGCATTATAGAAATAACAATGTAATGATCAGAATGAGTGGGTAAAATAGCTCAAATAAAATAAAAACATATTAAAAAAAAACCAAAATCAAAACCAAAACCAAAACCAAAACCAAACCCTCCTCCTTAGACTCTATCTCAGAACTGGATTGATCTCATCTTTCATAAAGAAACTGTACCTGACAGTAACAGAATAAAAATTGTAAAATGACAAAAAAAAAAAAAAAAGAAAAAAAAATGCCATTCTTTTAATCAGTAATGAGGATATTAGACTCATCAAAACCAAACAGTACTTCATGGTCTAAGAGATATGACTGATGTAGTGTTGCAGTTATTTAAAAGTGTGGTTTGGATACAGCAAACACTATTCATTAGGCATAAACACTGCAGGGCATTTGGCTTTCTTCACATCATACAGAATACATTTATCAAATTACCAAAAAGAAAGCAAAACTGACTTCAGCTTTCAGGTATACATAAAAGTGTTAACCTTAAAATGAATACAGGAAAATATGACTATTGCTGTGCGACTCTGAGCTACTTTTGTTTTATTCTTCTAATACTTTCTTCTAAAGAGGAAATCGTGAGGCAAAGTTAGTGACAGCCATCAAAAAGAAGAAAACACAAGCCATTTCTGTGCATTTTAGCATTATGCATAACCCCAGAACAAGCAAGCAACAGTACAACCCACACTCCCTGGGAAAAGAAAGAAAAAAGTGCCATAAGGGAAAAAGTGTTGATGTTAGGAGCATGCATTTCTGCCAATGACAAAAAAAAAAAAGGAAAACTGAAGAAAAATAAAAGTAAATAAATAAATAAAAAGGAGGCTACAAGCAAACAAGCAAAAAGAAAAAAAAAATCCCAAATCAAACACACATTGTTTTTCTGGCCAAAAGCTACTCACATGTTCAGTAGTATCATCATATTCCCACTGTTTGAGAGTAAAGAATGTTGGAAGGAAAAACAAAACAAATGAAGAGATTTGTAGCCTGTTTGAAGTAATGTTTTCTTCTTAAGAGAAAAATAAATACGAAAGATGTCTGGAAAAATCATGTACAATTTTACTTAATTATGTAGGATTGCATAGAATTTGGTTAATGAAACCAGGCCAGGCATTTTTAATTCCATTTCAGCTCTCCCTAAAAATGAGCCACTTCTCTTTCCTTCAGACATGAAAGAAGTAATGAATCCTCATGTACCATGTAGTAATATTTTATAATAAATTGTATTAGTAAGAACTACCAAGGTAGAATTAAAGGCTACCTAGTTTATTTAATCATGTTACTAGGCTATATGCTTGAGTTTCCTAAATGAATGCAATGCCTTATTTAAATGACTAACAGAATTTTTTAGTCTTGAAACCTAATCACACAGATCTTTCACCATGAAGGTCTTCACACCTGCACAAGCCCTGATCAAGCACATCATAGAAGTATGACAGGCAGGAAGGACTGGCAGAAGGAAAAAGGAGGTGATTATATAGAGTGAACCGATGGCGAATAGGCATTTCCAAGCCAAACTTGGTAAAAGGACATGTGACTTTTGCTTTTTTATGAAAGGCTCCAACTTATCATCTAGTTTCTCACCTTCTGGTGTTTCACATTATCTTACACTAGTACCACACAGAGAGTGAAAGAAAAAAATCTGTGCAAGGAAGGGGAGAGCAAAAGCACAGCTGCATCTCCTTTTTCATCTTTTGCCTTTTCCCTTTCTCTTCTCACTTCCTCACCTCCCCATGTTTCCATTTTTCTTTCCACTGAATTTATGCTGTAAGAACACCATACTTCAGTTGGTAAGTACATATAAAAAGACAGACAGGCTGGAAGGTAAGCTGCAAGAAAGACCTCCAGGAACAGAGATGATAATTTAAGGTCATCAGCAAAATGTAGGTGTAGGAGGCCTGTTCTCAAAAAAGGTATCTGCAAAGCTGAAATTTAGAACTGACTGGAATAACAAAAGGAAAAAGCAAAACCCCATTTATTTAGTTACATAAAATGCTTAAGAAGCAAATTTAACTCTTTACTTTATGCTAGGTTGATAATTTCTTATCATTTTCAGTCATGCCAGTAAACTGAGAGCTAGCAGTGAGAAATGCGTACTTGATAATTGTTTCAAAGTAGGATGATCCCTCCAGGGGAATCTTCAGTTTTACAGAGCACTAATATATCCCAATCAGTAAAATCCTATGTTTAGAAGCTTTTTAAACTTGATATGATCATGCTTTTGTTTTCATCATGTCTCATAATTTATAAAACAGCAGAGAAATTTTGAAATAGAAATTTCCCCATATCTACTTAAACTAAGCTCCTCACGTTTTTACAAAGTTATTGATATGAATAATGACAAGTATAAATACTTGGGTGATTTCTAGATTTGTGTTAATAAATTAATTTCCTGTAACAGGCACGGTGAGGGGGACACACGCTAATGGAAGTAACACTGTAATACTGAGATAACACAGGCTTCTAACAATTCTAGGTTCGCCACTGAAACAGAGAAATATTGTGTGGGTGGATCAGGCAGTGCACACTTTGCTACACCGACTGTGATCTGGCTCAGGTCTCCCTGATGCTTTGAAACTTCAGAGCACAGGTATCGGGTGAAGTCTTCAGGCTTAAGGAAGCCAGCAGAATGACACGGCTTGTCATTTAGTTTCACACCTATACAAAAATGGGTGCCTAGGTATGGATGAAGCACCTTTACCCCTTGCTGTTGTGAAAAGAAGTTGTTAAAATAAAGACAAAGAATGTTAATTCATAGGCTGAAATAAAGGCATCAAAAAAAGGCAGTTTTGGATAGTTCTCTGGTACACAAAATGTTTCCATTGTGACCTAGAAAAGAACATAAAAATGCTGTACTTACCTGTGCATCAGCCAGCATGATGTCCTTCAGCATGGGCTGACCCTTTGGCTCTCCATTTTCCATCCTCACATAGTGGACCTGGTATCCTCGGATCTGACCATGCTGTTTATTTGGTACAGGTGAGCGCCATGACACTTTAACAGCAGTAGAGTTGACAGCCTCTACCTCGACTTTGCGAGGAGGACCACTAGGAACTGGAACAACATCATTGGACAGAAGAGAATTACAAGGACCTGTCCCACACATGTCTTTTTGGGGTTTGTTTGTTTTTTTTTTTTTTTTTTTTTTTTTTTAACGGGCAGACTCACTATGTTTTCTTTGAAGAATACAAATTGCTCAGCAAATGAAAATACTCAACCAATCTGCTCTACCTTTCAGTGAAAAGATCAAAAAACATGACTGATGCAAAAAAATGGAAGAAAAAAGAGTATTAGAGAAATAGAAAAACATGTAAAAATGTACAAAAGCCAAGGAGGATGCTTTGAGATTCAAAGCATTACAGTATAAAGAGATATTTTAATCACTGAAATAATAATAATACTACTAATAAAACCAAAAAATATTTCAAAAAAACGTTTCCCTTGTTTTTGTTTGCTAAGTTGTTTGTTTCAGTTTGTTTTTTTTTTTTTTTCAGTAGTATAAAAAGAAGGTTGATAATAGGGCTGTCTTCTGTCACTTTCAAGCACGGAAGAAAAGAATATGTATGGAGCATCAGTTTTCCAAGATCAAAAAAAAGCTAAAAAAAAAAAAAATAAAAAAAATAATTTAAAAAGAACCAGTTAAAAAAATCCCAACAAACCAAAACCTGAATAGAAGTTCATAGACAAAAGTGTTTAAAAATAACAAAATAACAATGACTGTAAAATCAAGGAAAAGGCAGAAATATTTTCCTTCTAAGAGTTATTTTTATGTTAAAGGAGGAGTAAGAAGGATATGTATGGGCTCAAAGGGGCATCAGATTCCTGTCACTCGCAAAAAGAGATTTTCTGTTAGAGAAAAACAGAACCAGCAAATATAAAAATGGTGTAGAAAGGACAAGTCTTTGATTAAAAAACTCAAAGGGCGATAATAACTGTGATTTGGAAAAAAAGAGAGGCAGAAAAAAAATACTTGTTAGGCTATACAAAAGACAGCAGATCGACAGGGTCAGAGAGGCGCAAACTGATGTAGTGGAGGCAACATACCATCTTCATCTGTCCGAATCAATACTGCCAAGCTCTCTGGGCCAGGTCCAACATCAGTGTGGGCAGTCACAGAGATCCGGTACTCAGTCCATTTTTCCAGCTGTTCCAAAAGGTATTGGGTACTGTCCGAGGAAATTCCCAAAATTTCATGGGGCTTGACATCTTCTCCATCAATCCCAATGTACTTGATGGAGTATTCAGTGATAATGCCGTTCTGTTTATCCACCGGTGGAGGTTTCCAACTTACCAAAATGCTAGTGGAGCTGGGGCTTGTGCAACTAATGTCTTGAGGAGGAGCTGATGGCTCTAATTTCAGTAGTGGGTTAAAGGAGGATTTGAGTGAAAGGATAGGAGTGATTGAAAAAAATGAACAAAAGAAAAAAAATAAATAAAAGACAACCAAATGAAAATAAAAAAATAAATAAAAAAAGAAGAAACTTAAAAAAAGCAAAACATCAGATAATCATATGCACCTTGGCTTATTAACATGAGGAAACCGAAAATGAATAGACAAACTAAACGGTGAAAAATGATGTAGGGGAAATACATGAAAATGAAACCTCAAAACAATATTACCTACCTGTAGTTAAAATTCTTCTTGAAATAAAACAAAACATGACACTTCTATGACTACTGATCTATTTGTATAATCCTCGCAATTACTGCAAGCTGTGATATTTTACACAAGGTGACATGCATATTACTTACAAATTTGGAAATAACCCCTTCAATTGGGTTAATTTTCTTCGAGAAAAATTCTCTCCTTATAGAACTCCTAAAAACTTGCAATAATTGCTAGAAGTTGTTCCATGAATTGCCATTTTTGTGAACTCCCCACTTGCTCAAACAAATTGTTATTTTTTCAGGTTATTTTATAACTGAGTCTGCCTGGCAAAAGTCAACCTCAAATTATGTTTAAATGGAAAGCATTTACTGAAACATTTACTGTAGCCAACATACTAGGAGCATGCAGTCAACAGAAGATTAAGGTCTTAGTCAAAGATTTACCTACCAGGAAAATGTGACAGGCTTGTTGATTCTGACTGTAACTTGTACTTACCCTAGATCAGCTGCCTGTTTTATTTTTTTAACTTCTCTTGGAGACACCTTTGCTAGCAAAGAATTAAATCCTACCAGTAACGTAGGTAACTTCTATAGGAAAAAAAAAAAAAAAATCTACCCCCAAACAATGTGTCATGAAAGCAGGTATTCATTTTACAAAAAGATTTCACAAGCTCAGCACATCAGAACGGTGAGAGATTCTGACTTTCTTTCATCTCTTGTCACCAGCACCAACTCTTGCAGAGCAAAAATGTTCACATTTGCTGATTTCGAAGAGTCTGTTAGCATATTTACCTTTACTGGGCTCCAGAGCAATTAAACATGTATGCTGTGCCATTGCTTTCAGTAAGGCAATTCAAGTACTGAAAGTTAGCTACGCATTTATGTGCTTTTAAATCCACTTTAACTTGTCAAAGTCTATGCTTACTAACAGACAACACCAAAAAAGGAGACACAGCTCAAATTAATGGGCAGAATTAGCAGAGGTGGACTACTTTTCTACTTCTGCCTTCTCTCTTGGAAGAAAAACATAAATTTGGGTGCAAGACCCTTACGACACTTTTTAAATTTTTCTTTTCTTATTTTTTTCCTTTCTAACTCTTTTCTTCCTGTTTCTGAAGGGAAAAAGATCAATGGATTTCCAGTGCTTATACTAGGCACATTAAACAAAATTAAAGCAATAGAGAAGGCCTAAAGCCCTGCTGTGACCTATTGCATTTACACAAGTATGTTTTGGTTCCCTACAGTTCTTATGCAGGGATCAATGGCTTTTAACTCGGTATGGTACAATGCTTTTCTGAAGGGAAAACAGGATGGAATGTACCAGCATTTCTGCATTTCATCTACTTAGAGGACGTAGATGAGGGGACAGATGAGAATTATCAAATTTGGGATTTCTTTTTTAGTCTAATTCAGTAATCAAGTACTCAAAACATGTTGGTTTCCTTCTACCATCAACTTGTGCAGGAAGTAAAATACAAGTAAAATCTCACTTGAAGATCTTATACGTAAAGAAATAAATCCCTGTAGCATCTTTCTCTGAAACCAAGATGAAAGGCAATAGTGTATTCTGGTGACTATTGCTAATAAACTCATAGAACTTTATTAATTTTTAATCCATTATACTCTGAAAGCACAAAATATTGCATTTATGTAACTAAGGATAATCTGTAAGCTACTTGTGTAACCAGTTTTATCAATGCATATATCTTTTTCTTAAAATACACAATTTTTTAAAAAAGATTTTGCAGTCTTTTCAACAAATAACCCAGGTCTGTTCGCTGAGATCAACTGGATTTTCCTACTACGAGATGACATAGGGCTGAAAAAGATATTAAATATTTCTATATTCAAGAAGGGGAAAACGGCAATATGCTTACATATGGAACATGCTACCTTGGCCCCTAGATGTTTATTTTGTATCCACAGTCTAAGCAAGCTTCAATCAATTTAAGAAAAAGAGCATTTTGAATAGCTGAAATGTTTCCCAGAATAAATAATTTCGTCTTCATCAAATTACTGATTTGGGATTGCTAAAATCAAACACGCCTTGCCAGTATCTTTAATACTAGCCTTGTGTTATAGAACCATCTTTTGTGCTTATTTCAAATGCCTTAGGAATGTTTCAGAAGCACATTTAGCTTCGGTTAAAGGTCTGCAGCATTGTAACTCTAATAATTCACACTAATTCCTCTTAATATATAACACTAACAAAGAATGAGAGAGTAATCACATCTGTCATGACTGCAAATTAAAAAACCTCATGTCAATTGAGAATCTAAATTTGCTGTTTTGAATAGTGTTAGGTTAACGGTTGGACTCGATCTTAAAGGTCTTTTCCAACCGAAATCATTCTATGTTTCTATGAATAATATTACTTTAAGAAAAGGCCAATTTATTATAAAGAAATACAAATAGAATTGAGCTAGGTTTTAAAATGAGACTGTCTAATGCAAACTGTGAGGAAAGCATAACTCACAGTTTCTGGACATCATCCTTGAATATCTCTTTCAATCAAGTCCTAATTTTGGTATTATAAAATGTATTTATAAAACCCTGACTAATTTTTGCATCTAATTTGCAGGTTGGTGTGAGAGTTTCATGACATTGTTATCATAAATGTCCAGTAAGAAAACAATTTTTCTACTGGTATAAAAAATGACTGAACATCATAAAAGGTCTAGATTAAAAGAAATCTAACATAAAATCAGAATTATTAGCTACTACAGAATATGTAGTATACAGTTATGAGGAAATTTTTGGTGCAGTCTAAAATATTCAACCTAACTCACTCTACAAAATTTTTTGCACTTCAGGGACATGCTGCAGGAACAACCTAGTATTACAGGAAATCTGCAGACTAGCAATGTGGAATTTTATGGGTGGAGGACACGAATGTATAACTACTGCATGATATAACATTTTATCCTATTATAGCATGAAACAAAATTTTATTATGACAGCATTATATTGTCTCCTTATTGTCTCACTGTTTTACAGAGTGTTTTTTGGAAACTATGTAAAGGACACTCACATATTAAGCTGATCAAAATATTTCTACAAAACCACATATTTCAAGCATTCTTTTGCTGTATTACGCATGATGAATGCTGTATTTTTATCATTTTGTCTTTTCCTCCATTGCTGCTTTTCTGGGCTACAGAGATTAATCTTTATGAGAAATACAAGACAAGTGAATAAAGTTAGCAAGGAAAGACACCTACTTGACTGCATGGTTCTTGCTGAGATTTCTGCTGTTGAAGCACCCAGTCCTTGAGGAGAACGTGCAGCTAGGCGGAATAAGTACAAGCTGTTTGGCTTTAAGCCTTGCAGGCGATAGGATGTAGTAGGTTCAGTGGAAAGCCGTTGCTAAAGGTAGGTAATAAGAGGATGTCTTGATTAATATTCAGAGTCTCTGATTCCCTATGTTGTCTATGGAGAAAATGCTTTTACACTCTGATGACAGCCCCATTGAGAAAAACTTAAATTCAAGAAAATAGATCAGAACAAACCCAAACCAAAGGAAAACGAAAACAAATTTATTATTTTTGACAAACACATTAAGGAATAGGATTTTTAAAAGTTAACAGCTTAATGGGCATGAAGTACAAAAGGCTTTTCAGACAATAACACATGAACAAAGCTTTACCTATAGTTACCTCTTCTGACAGTAACTATGGGGTTTTATAGTATGAGTAAATTCGGGTTTAACTTTGTAGTTAAATTTGTGTTCAAATTACTAAGAAGCAAATTATTCCAAAGGGTAACTTGTCCAGCAGGGACCTTCATCTATTTGGAGGTGAAATATGGATCTGTCCCCATTCCACAAAAAAGCTTATGCATTCATAGTATATGTGTGAAGTCACTGTAAGCATAAGCTCAGCTGATGCATCAGCAATGATTTGATGATGCAGGAGAAATCAATGAGGCTGACACTCTCCTGCTGTCTTCTGAGACTGCTGGCTGTTTTCTTTTGTCTCAGACACCTGGCAATATAACGTGGTTTCCCTATCAGAAGAACGCTTTATTCTAAAGTTTATGGTACTAACACCACAAAGGCCATCAAACTGAATATTTTTAAGAAATACTGGTACAGAAAGAGTACGTAGCAGGTTTTTAACTTTAGGAAAAAAAAGCCCAAACTATTAGCTAAAGTTTAGAGTAGCCTCACAACTCTCTTACTTGGTGGCAAAGAGAAACAAAAATTTTCAAAGGCTGAAAATAGACTCCAAGTCTATTTTTAGTAGGTCCAAATATAAGTGCCAAAAAAAATCTTAATGGGTCACAGAACCACAGAACGCTAGAAGGTGGAAAGGACCTCTGGATATCACCTACTCCAACCCTGCTAAAACAGGTTCACCCAGAGCATGTTGCACAGGAATGTGTCCAGGCGGGTTTTGAATACCTCTGGAGAAGGAGACACCACAAACTCTCTGGGCAGCCTGTTCCAGTGGTCTATCACTCTCACAGGAAATAAATTTTTCCTCATGTTCAGATGGAACCTCCTGTTTACAGTTTGTGCCCATTGTCCCTCTTCCTGTTGCTGGGAACCACTGAAAAGAGTCTGGCCCAATCCTCTTGATTCCTGCCCTTTAGACAACAAGAAGCATTGATAAGATTGCCTCTCACCCTTCTCTTCTCCAGGCTAAAAAGCCACAAGTGTCTCAGCCTTTCTTTGTAGGACATGATCCAGCCCACTAATCATGTTTGTTGTCTTCTGCTGGACCTTCTCCTATAGTTCCTTATCTCTCTTGAACTGAGGAGCCCAGAAAAATGCAACACGTCCCTTGTCCATAATATGTCTTAACACACTTCTACTTCCAAGTCTTTGTAGAGGAACTGGCTTGGATAAACATGATCAATGTCTAAAACCAGATACAAATTCTGTGGATGACTTGTTGCCAACAACTGCAAAGTTCCACCGTCTAGTCACCACTTGACAGCATTTTCCACTGTTTATACATTCTCAGTTCTAAAGGAAGTTACTAATCCATCCATTCTAAAGCATTGCAACATTGCATGTCTGACTCATTAAAGAGTATTTAAAAGATGCATAGTCTTTCCACTTACCTCTTCCCCATGCTCCCCATCTTTGTAAACCAGTTCATAGCTGGAAATGGTATCAGAGCGTGGAGGTGTCCAAGAAAGCAATATGCTTGTTTCAGACTCGGGTTCTGCTTTGAAGTTCAGTGGCTGACCAGGAACTAAGGAAAAAGTTGAGCAGTATTGCGAACTTTTTATTTTGTTAATTCAACACTTATCATTCTAGCATTTTAGACTTAATACTTCTTAATTTTAATCTTAATATTTCACACAATATTACTTTTATTGAGCTTATTGAACTTAAACAAATTGATTAACTGTACTATGAAATAATCTGAGCTCAGAAAAAGAATAATGATATATTTAAGTCACGCATTATAAATTATTGAGGATTTCAAATAAATGCTTTGCAGTGTAAATGTACACAGAACTAAAATGCAATTGAACAGAAGCCTAGTAGTGGGTACCAGCAATTTAATAACCTATGTGTGAAATGCCAAATATGTAGATGTATTTTTGTGTGTGATATGGGAAAATGCTAGAATTACATAAGATTGGCTGGAATAGTAAAGAAGAAAGGGTTAAAACCATTTCATGGCTTTAATGAAATTAAACACATCCTGCTCTGTTCTAAGAAGACATCTAAATATTGAATGTTTCTGTAACCTAAAGAAATTACAATCTACTGAAGAGATCTTCAGTATGTTCCCATTAAATGACATATTTTTACCAATAGAGATTAATTTCTAGTAACAATGCTTTCTAATTCCAAGAACTAAAAATGCAACTTCTATTCCAGTAGTCAAGCACATTCTCTGCTGTTACATCTTGTGTAATGGTCAAAGAATTTATCCAGTCTATGCTCAGCTACTTCTCTAAATAATAAGGCTTACTGGGAAAAGACAATAAAAGATAACCCTGTCATCAGAATACATACAATCCTTTCGGAACTCAAATTCTAAAACACTACTTTCAGTTAATAGTGCTCTTGATAAGGCACGATACAGTCCTCCACAGCAGCTCTAGCTTTTCAAGAATAAAAGGTGGCATGCTTTATTATTTCAGGAAAAAATAAACAAAACAAAAAAATAGGTGCATTCTTAGTATGTACTGAGAACAGGTGTCACAGGTAGGATGTGACAATAATGACTATTTCACAACCATTTTTCGGGATAGAATTTTATTATAGTGTTACATTTCTTTGGTACAGTAAAAGACTTAAAAATACCATGGAGCAAATGGCAAAAATAATTTGTGGTTGTAATTCTTATCTTCACCAGACTCCTACAGTATGTCACTCTGAGGATAACAACGCTCTTGTGTATGCCTGTGCAGGTTTGATATCTAACCTTTAAATAAACAGATAACCTGTCAACATGAGGTGCACATTCAAGCTTTTTTTTTTTTTTTCCCCCCTTTCAGAAACAGGATGAAAGAGAAAAACAAAAGGTGTGGAAGTATGTTGTCAGTTTTGGATGAAATCAGCAACAGTGAACAGTGGACCAAGTCACTTTATGGGAAGGAAAAAAAAAATAGGAGTAATTATCTATTTTTCTAAAAGATGTCTGTTGCAAAATGGGACCACTTCCTGGGTATTGCAAAGTGCAAAAGTGAAAAAGGTCACAAAGTACAGGGAGCAATTATAGGAAATACCAACAAAGTATTTTTGACAGAAATGGTTCTAATTTTATCCTTTTAAAACTGAATGGATTTGAAATTAAGAGGGAGAGAGTGTGGTAACTGGATAATTCCTAGCTTTGAAACAGATTGTCAAATACCACTAGATGAAACTTTTAACTTGGCATAGTTCTATAAATGCATTTATTAGATGAACAGTACAGGTTTTTAGTTTAGCTGCTTCAAAACACTCCTGAGTAACAACCTTAAAACAGCTGCAGATTTGCCTCTTGTTGTTACCAGGTTAAAGTAGATGTGGAGCTCCACTGCAGGCTCATCAAAGCTTAAAAATAAAATATGGAGTGTAGGCAGCTATTTGGAAGCGTTTACTGTGCTACAGGTTGTTTCAAATGTATCTCCTGAAACTTAGATGGGTACCTGGCTCTAGGCATTTTTCTTCTTCATTTGAGATAAAGACTAAAGAACTGGTAAAATGGATCCATGGAAAAAATTATTTGCTCCAATGGGTATCAAAGGATAGGGAAAAAATTATTTTGGCAACATATCTGAGCAGCACGGTTGGAGTTACAAAATCACTGTAGCCTGGTCATGGAATGTCAAACAGCAGCTTATGTTATCTGTGCCATGCTATCCATCCTGTGTTTGATATCTTTACCAGTGATGTAGGGGACAGGATGGAGGGTATATGTTGCAGGTTTGCAGACATCAAGGTGGGGGGAGACTAGTCGGCACACTCAAGGGTCAAGCTGCTGTTAAGCTGGACAATGGGGAGGAACAGGCTGATGCTTCACCATGAAGTTCAGCTAGCCCTGTTCCGGGAAGGCACAGATGGAGGCTGGGGCTGATGGAGCCAGGGAGCAGCTTTAGGGAATAGTCCTGGGACCTGGCTGGCAGTGTGTCAAGCGGGGCCAGCCATGTACCCAGGTAGCAACCAGGGACAATGGTGTCTGGGATGGTGTGAGCAAGAGGTGGCCAGGGGAGGGCAGGGACTGCTCCCTGTGCTCAGTGTCATTCAGACCACATCTGGATACTGCATCTGCTTTGGGCATCAGTAAGATGGGTCTGGACTGGAGTCCTTGCCCAGAGAAGAGAAGATGCAGGACTGGGGCTGGTCCATCTGGAAGAAGGGATGGCTTCAGGGGCACCCAACAGCATTCTTGGCATGGATGGAAGTGATGGAGAAGACACAGCCAGGATCTTCACAGTAGTGCATGGCAGAAGGGAGAGAAACAGCAGCACAAGCTGAAATATGAGGGTCTCAGGCTGGAAATAGGGAAAAAAACTTTTCCCTACGAGGACAGCCCAGCTCTGTGGCT